ATTAAATCTGTTTCATCCCCATCACTTCCCTGAAATCCAGCCTAGCATCATTCTCACCCTTTATCTCTGTCAGCAGAAAGACACAGAAAACTCAGAGGAAAAGTGGCAAACAATAAAATATTCAGCCAGGGACAAAACCTGTGTTGTTGTGTTGGTGGGACAAGGGCAGCTCTGCAGGTACCTCTGTCCTGTTTGTTTGTTCCTTACCAGAAAACTAAATAAATAGGTTTAGGTGCTGGGATGCTGCTTTGTTTTGTTTTCCCAGTCATTGCAGTTAGCCACTGGATTTTAGAGGAGAGAGTGAGTGTGCTGGAGACACTGGGATCACCTTGTCCTGCCCCCTGCCTTCTCCAGCCTCCTCACTGGGCTGAATTAGCCACACACAGAGCCCAGCACCCCTGGGATCCAAACAGACCAGCAGCCAGGGCTGTGACTGTGTGCTGGAAGTCCTGGTATGAGGCAAGTGTGAATCCAAGGATCCCATCCCAGGGCTGTGTAAGCCTCTAGGGGAAGAAGTCTTTCCTAATGAAAAAAGGGAAGAGAGTAGGTTTAGATGAGATATTAGGAAGAAGTTGTTCCCTGTGAGGGTGGGCAGGCCCTGGCACAGGTTGCCCAGAGAAGCTGTGGCTGCCCCTGGATCCCTGGAAGTGTCCAAGGCCAGGTTGGACGGGGCTTGGAGCAACCTGGGATAGTGGAAGGTGTCCCTGCCCATGGCCAGGGGAGGGAATTGGATGAGCTTTAAGCTCTGCTTCCCCCTTGCCCCACCAGCTGCAGGACTGACTTCCTTCATAAATGTCCATGGATGCAAAACTGTATTCACAAGCACATAATTACCAACCTGGGTATTTTCTCCTCTTAATTAGCAATGCCATGGTTCTTTAATTGCTCGATTAAAGTTGCCCACAAGGAAGGTTTAAGGTACATTAAATCTGCTGATTGGTTCATCAGCATGAATCCCACCAACTGGAAAAAATTAACTGGCTTCCAGATTGCTAACCAGACTCTCCAGATCCATTTCCACCAGCCGTGTCCCACAGGAGGCAGGAGAAAGCCCAGCAGTCCTTCCCCTATTCCCACTTCTCCTTCAGTTTGGGAGCTGGAGGGGAAGAGCAGTGGCAGCCTCCCTCTCTTCTCCCTCTTTGTCCAGAGGACAAAGGCCATTTCTTGGCTGAAGCAGAGCTGGGGAAAGTCTAAACCACACACAGCAGACCCCTGTTTGGTGGCTACAGACACCCATCCTCATGTGCAGATGGGCTGATGGAGCAGGAATTAGGACTTGCTCAGGTGCTGCTCCCCCATCCCTGTTTTCCATCCAAAGGCAACAGCCAGGCTGAAGGCCCCGAGCACAGCAGAGGGAAAGCAGAACCACTTGTGAAAGCCATGGATATACCACAAAGATGCTCTCTGGAAATTCTGCCAAAGGCTCATCCACCTGCTCTCACAACAGGGAAGAGGACCTGTCCCTCTGTTTTACCCTTTTGCATTTCTTCATTAAAGAAAATGCTTCCTGGGAGATTCTGTGCTCCTGGAGGTGTCCCTGGCTGGATGCTGGATGGGTTTGTGTCAGCTCCCAGACAGCAGCACTGTGATCTGTAGCCATGGCACTGCCACTGATGTTCCAAACTGACTCTCTGTGCATGGACAACCTGGGAGCAGCTGAACAGATTTTAGCTCAATTTTAAGTTTTGCTCACTGATAACTGGTGAGAGATGCAGCCCAAGGAATAATTCAGGGTCCCAAAAGGTGGACCCTCATGCAAGGACCGTGGCTTTACCAAGATCCATCCACCAAGGACCATCACACAAGGTCTTGGTGGCTCAGGAGCCCTCCCAAAGAGGACGTGGTAGGAGGGATGTGGTTGAAGAGCCACTGTCCTCACCTGCCTGAGCTTCCCATCCACCTCCCCATCCATCCACCCACTGGACATGGTACACATGTCTCAGCCCTCAGCCTTTGAGGAGGTGGGTTACAGGTCCTTCCCTTCCCACAGAAGCAAAACCAGGGTTAACAAGCTCCCCTTTCCCATCTCTCTAATTGCACTGACCTTATTGAAATGGATCTCTTATTTGTCCTGCACAGCAGCTGCATGTCAATAAGGTGAATTATGCTGATTGCCTCCTTATCTGATAAATTGCTGGGACAGATCCTTTTCCCTCCTGCTCTTGCTTATTCTGCTGTTTAGGCAGAGCAGTTGCTATTTGCTGTGGGTAAGAGATGTTAATGTGTCGTGTGTGGACCGATGCACTTCAAGGAGGAAAGAGCAACGACTCTGAGGCTGTGGGTGATGGGGTGAGGGAAGCAAAGTCCTTCAGAACCTTGAAAACCAAGGGAAAAACAAGTGGGGCAGCAGGGTTGTGCTGTCCCAGGAGGGATTTCATCCTTGTGGTGGCCGTGGCAGAAGGTGCTGTGGGGCTAAACCGATGGGAATTTTAGGAGCTGGCAGAGCCCAGGATGCCATCAGGAGCTGTGGGAATTCCTGCTCAAACCTGGTTTCTGCCCAGTAAGGCACTGGAGCACACGTGCCCATTCACAGCTGGAGAAGGGGGTCACATCTGATGCCAAGCCAGCTGGCATCCTCAGGTCGTCCCTATCCCAGTGTCCCAGGGCTGAGATCTGGCCGGGGATCCCATGGAAACTACCCCTCACATCCTTATGGCAAATGTTAAGACATCAAAACAAGGTGAAACGTGTGGATCCCACTGAGACGGGTGCAGAAGTCAGAGATCCCAAACACCACCCTCCTGCTCCCAAAAAAGGTGTATCCAATGTGATGGATGACAGCAAAGACCCATCCCTGGAAGTATCCAAGGCCAGGTTGGATGGGGCTTGAAGCAACCTGGTCCAGTGGAAGGTGTCCCTGCCCATGGCACGGGGGTGGAAAGAGATGAGCTTTAAGGTTCCTTCCAACCCAAACCAGACTGTGACTCTATGACTCTGTAAAGGGGATGAGAGACAGAGAATTTCCCAGTGTTCCTGCACATATTCACCATGTGGCACCTCACCCTGTCCTTCCCAGCTCTGTGGCACAACCTTCCTTCTCCTCTGAAGGGCTGGGAACAGCTCTGGCTTTGGTCTGGTTTCCTGAGCTGTCCTCCATCACTCTGGCAGGTCCTTAGAAAAATGAACGTTAAAGAGGAGAGGGAGAAACCTCCACTGTTCAAACATCTTTAGCTTTGACAGATAAGGTGTCTGGCTGTGAAAGGCAGAAGGAAATTAATTTGGAATCACATTTTAAACACTGCCATAGAGGCAAAGTATCTTCTCTCTAATTTCCACACATCCCCCTGCCCCCCCGCCCAAGCAAAAAAATGAATTTCCCTGATATTTATAGAAAGATTATTAGGGCCACTAGGAGTGATTTATATCATCTCATCCCTGTGGCCGAGAATGAAAAATTGCTGGGGCGACAGCGGCTGGAATCCTGCTTTTGTCCTCCTGACAATTAAAACGGCTAATTTCCAACTCCAACAGATCTGCTGGTGTTATAAATCACTCCAGGAAGGCATTTTTTCAGCCTGAAAAGTGAACTCTGCCCTAATCAGGTACAAGATCAGAGATTTGCATCTGTTTGCTTTCCTATGTACTCTTGCTCCACACCCACCCACCAAAGGGGATGTGGGCAAGGAGGTGCTGCCCCTGCTCACTTGATGCTGGGTCATCAAACTGTGCTGGGAACTGGAAAAATGTGACAGGGAAAGCAGGAGAGGAAGATGACACTGAGGTCAGAGAAAATCCAGTGACATTTCCGTCCGGTTTCTGATGCCACAAGCCTTGGAGAGTTTTGCTGGGTCTGGGTCCACCTCCATGCAGAAGGGCCACCTGGGAGCACATGTTGGACCACACTTCCTCCTGTGCCATGCTTATGGTAGGAGCAATCCCACTAGAAAAGGGCAGGAGGGCACGGCAGCTCTCCCACAGCTTTGCTTCCAGGAGAGAGCAAACCTATCTGAGGAATCCCAGGAAAATGAGGCAGCACCGATGCCACAGATTCCCTCAGCCTCCTGGCTTTGGGATCTCCTGGGGCAGAGACTGCAATACAGGACTGCTGGAGGGGAATACAGGGATTGGGTGTTTGGTCCTTCTGAACCAACTCACAGATCTTTGCAGTGGTGGAGCTGGACCCAGCCCTCCAGGAGGCCCTTGCTGGCGTCCCCTCCCACAGTGGCGTGTGCCTGGCCCCACACACACCTTGCACCCACTCTTTAACATGATGGAAGACCCTTTCCTATCTACCCCAGGATAACTCTCAAATCAATGGTCGCAGACAGGAAGAGTTTGGGATAGAAGCATTTATTCTGCCCATCCTTCCCACTCTATGTAGCCGGGGACCTGCGGGAGCCAGCGCCAGTCCCAGCAGCCCTTGGGTCTATTCCAGCCCGGTGCCGGACGTCCTAACCTTGAGTCAAGTCTCCCTAAGACAAATCCTCCACCTGACATTTCCACGGAGCTCAAACAAAGGCCCCCGCACTCATATTTGTGCTGCTCCCCCTCTCCACGTCCCAGGAAGAAACCGAGCGCAAACAAATCCGTGTGCAGGGCTCTCCCGGGGAGCTCTGTACACACACATCCCGCACGCCTGCTGCTGGTCACCCCACTTCCTTATCACAGTTTGTACAGTCGGCAGCTCACAGCCTGCCCAGAGGGCCCCCCGGGAAAGCTCCCCACACCCCCGGACGTGGGGCTCGGCAGCAGCCCCGGGAGGGTGAGGGATGGACACAGTGACCTTGTTTCATGAAAGCTCCATGTTTTTCTTTTTTTTGTTTCCCTCCCTTTCAAGCCCCTGCCAGCGGTGGGGGTGTTTTGGAGAGGCCAAACAACACATTTGGGAAGCGTGAAGCCAGCCAGCAAAGGCTTGGGCAGCCCTGGGCCTCCACAGGAGGCTGGCTGTGCCAGTTTTTGTGAAAAGGCATCTGTCCTCAGCCCTTCTCCAAAGAGGCAAGAGCCCCTCGTGGCCATCCCTCCCCTTGCAGGCACTGCAGGCAAGAAGCAGGGAGACTCACCCATGCAGGAATCCCGCTGCTCTTCGTAGCCAGCACTGCACACGCACTTCCCGATGGGCACCAGCCACTCTCCCTCGGCGCTGCAGTACATCTTGGGGGTGTCCCTCTCCTCCGAGTGGCCCACGCACTCTCCCCGCACTTCCACCAAGGAGGACGAGTCCGCCCCAGTCACGGCCTCAGAGAAGGATGCCAAGTTCCTCACTGTAGCCGGGCACTTCTTGTAGTACACCCGCACCGAGACGATGGCAATGCATGCCCCGATGTCCTGGAAGGCCAGGTAGAAGCCCCTCTTGCTCAGCGGCCCCACGCCCCGCACCTCCGTGTTCAGCTTCAGGCGCCGCACCCCCAGGTCCACGTTGGTGAAGCTCTCGTCCGCTGCGATCGTGTCGATCTTCATGAACTGGCTCTCCCGGGTGCTGGTGCCCAGGTCCCGGTCGGACTCCATGTAGTAGAGATTGAAGGTCTCCTTGCAGGTGCCCAGCACACCTGGCATGCTGTTGCAGTCCCTCAGCGTGAATTTGATCTCCGCGTAGACCCGCCGCGCGCCGTCCCGCTGAACCCAGTTGGTCCGTAGCCAGTTGTTCTGGTTGGGGGTCATGACATTACAGACCTGGTAGGTGTGGATGGGGCTGAAAAACTCATCCATTTCATTGATCGAATCCCACTGTGGGACAGAGAGAGAAAAGGTCATTCCTGATGTCCCCAGCCACCGGCGGAGCACAGAGCATGCACAAGTCTGCCGTCTCCCGCCCCAGGATGAACTCCCTCTGCTCCTGTGCCTGGCTGGGAGGTCACTGCTGCCACAGGGCAAAGGGAAATGAGGAGGAGCAGCATCTAACCAGCACTGATTTGGGCAGTGACTCCCAGCCCACCCTGCTGCAGCTCTGCGTGAGGTGCACCCTGTTTATTCCCGTCTGGGAACACTTGCGTGAGGTTGATGTGCTGGCAGAGGCTGATGGCAGCATGTGCCTGGGAGGGCTCCAAACCCTCTAGATCATGTCTGTGAGTCCCTTTTCTTGGTGCTCAGCCCATCATTGGCAGCAGCAGGAACCACCTGTGTGGTGCTCACCTGGGTCTCCTCTGGCTCATGCACTGTCCATGCACGAACTCAACTGGGTGCTTTCCATCTGGAGAAGGAGTTTCAGGGTGGGTAGCACAGGGTGAAGGGGAAGCATGCAGTGAACACAGGACTTCCAACAAGAAACAGGGGCCCGTGGGAGCTCAGAGCCCTCTTCTTCCCCACAAGGTGATGCCAGTGTGGCTCCTCGGTGTGAACCCACAGTGCTCAACCCAGCTGAGAGGCTGGATGGGGACTGGCTCTGGGAACACAAAGGTTCGTGGCTTGACAGCTCTGGGGTGAAAATTCCATGTTGCAGTGGCAGCAGGGGGAGTCTGGGGAGGAGATGCTGGCAAAAGCATGTTGCAGCAAGCAGGATTGCAATGAAGGGTGGTCTGGGTCAGTTTAGAGGGACAGTGACATGGGTGTCACCCAAGGGAGGGATGCTAAAGGGTTTAACTTATGAGAAATGAGAAGTAGTGATATTTTGAATACAAATTAATTCCATAGCTGAGGGACAAGTAGAACTTAGATACTGTAGGCTACAGGACACTTTGGGGGGCTCACTCTTGCCTCAGGACTTCCTCTCGAACCTCAGCAACCCCTCGCCAGGACTCACAGACCTTCCCTTCTCACCCACCACCTCTTCAGCTCACATTCCTGCCCAAACCAAGCACTCTGATCACACCCCCATGGATGGGTCTGGGACTCCTGAATTGTTACGGGAAAAGGGGAGGAGGTGGAGGAGCAGAGGAGAACTTCAAACCTTCTGACTTTTCCCTGGACTTGGAAACAGGCTTTGAAGATGCCTGAGCTCCACTCTCGTGCCCAAGTCCAGCTGTGAGGGGCAGCCCCAGATGCACTGCTGCAGAAGCTGGGGAAGATACTGGCACTGCTGCAGCAATTGCTCCTCTGCCTTCCAAATCATCGCCCCTCTCCTCACACCAACATCAGCACCCCCCTGCCTGCACCATCCTGGGGTCCTGGCTCTGCCTGGGAGCTGGCAGGGAGCAGCCCCCACCTCAGCACCGTGTGTACCCAGCTGTCTGGGGGGAATGGGGAGCCAAGGAAAGCTCCAACCATGCCTGCACAGAGCAGGAAAACTAATCTTTTAAGCAGCATTACAAGCACATTAAAATAAACTGCCAGGCTTGCCCTGACAGGGCAAAACTGGTGTTTTCTTATGCAAGTGGTGACCCGTGTTTCATTACAGATACAAAACCAACAGCAGTCCTGAGAGAAGGATGCTCAGCTCAGAGACAGTGAGCCCGAAGCCTTCACCCCAGTGACTGTGGGAGCTGACCAGGATGCAGATCCACTGGGACAGGCACCTGCCAGCCTTGCTGTGTGGCCACCAGCACTGCAGGGACAGGACACAGCTAGGGGAGGGCAGCACACCTCCAGAGTGTGTGAGATACTGGAAAGATGTATCAGTGATACCTGTAAGACAACCCACTCCCTTCTCCCCTCTCAGATGGGAATGTCCTTCCTCATTCGACCTCCTTGACCCGCAGCTCCTGGGCAGGTGGTGTGGTGCCTTCTGCTCGTGTGAGGGTGATCAGAGCAGTCATTTTGGTGAGGTTCATCTTCAAAACTTCCCCAGCATCATGCATTTAGGAGAAAACTCTGCTCTCAGCTCCTAAAGAGCTTAAAGTTACCTGGAACAGGCAGTAGCTCCAGGTGCAAACTAACACGGAAACTCATTCTGAGGGAAATATGTCTGCAAAGGGGGTGAAAGTCAAGCCACTGCCAGAGGAGAAAAATGTTTCCGGTTCATTTAAAAAAACCTTGTCTTCTGAATTCCAGAAATGCCCAGGTTTGTCTGGGGATCACTGAGCTCAGGTAGACAACACGGAAAGGGGCCAGGCTACCGGTGTGCTTGGCTGGAGGGGTGAGGGCAGCACCCCTCAGCTTCTCCAGCCACAGAGACGAGCCTGTAGAAGGTGCTGTGACACCCGGGACACTCCCCTGCTGCTTGCCCAGAGTGTACAGTGGTGCTCAGGAGTGTGGGCAGAGCCAGGCACGGCACAGCCCCTCTGCCTCTCCCTGCTCCCACACCCGCCTGTGCACACGCTGAGGCTCTTCCGAGGGTGTGGAAGTCGCTGTCGAAATTAATCGAGCACAAATTAACACAACATCTGCTTCCTGTCTTTTCCCTGCTGGGTTTCCCCGGGGGAAGTGAGGCAGAGCCGAGCATGGGAGGATACACGCGGGGAGAGGGCAGAGCTGGGGGGGTGAGCAGGGATTACCCTCCCGATGCACAGCCAGCTCCCCTCGGCGATGCCTGTGGGGCCGGGGCTCTCCAGGAGTGTCCAGCGAGGGAAAGATGAGGTTATTGTGTGCACCAAAATGCTTTGGCTCCAGCTCGTGTGGTTGGTTTGCGTCTCCAGACATTCACTTCTCTCCCAAATCTGGCACAGGAGATGCAGCTCGTGACTGCAGTGTCCCCACACCCTCGTGGCACTGCCAGAGCCAGCAGAACAGGGAGATGTAAATGCCCACCTCCAAGCACGGGCAGCAGTCGGCATCAGCCCCATCTCCACCCCCCGGGGTGAACCTGGAGAGTTTGCATTTGCACCATCACTCCTTCAAACGTGGTGCTTTTTTGCACAGGGGCTGCACTGTCAGTTCTGCCCCGGGGTTGTAGGCAGTGCCTTGGGATCCCAGTCTGAGACCAGCCCAAAACACCACACCTGCCCTGCAGGGGAAGTGCTCTAGGACCGGTGGAAAAGGACAGGGGCAGGCAGGTCACCTGAACTCGTGGCTTGGATGCCACAGGTGCGTCTTCCCAGCATGTCACAAGGCAAGTGAGGTCTCATGAGCTCTGCCAGATCCCAGGACCTGCAGGGTATTTGGAATCATAGAATCCCAGAATGGTTTGGGTTGGGAGGGACCATTTTGTTCCACCCCCCTGCCATGGTCAGGGACACCTTCTACTAGACCACAGTGCTCCAAGCCCTGTCCAACCTGGTCTTGGACACTTCCAGGGATAGGGCAGCCACAGCTTCTGTAGGCAACCTGTGCCAAAGGCTCAGCACTCTCATAGGGAGGATTTTCTTCCTAATATCTAATCCAAATCTACCCTCCTTCAGCTTAAAGCCATTCTCCCTTATCCTATCACTGCCTGACCTTGCTAAAAGTCCTTCTACAGCCTTCCTGTAGGCCCTTTCAGATACCAACGGGGGGATGGAGGGACCTGCTTCAGGAATCCCCGTGACTGGAGGGGTTTTTCTGTTTCACCTCAGTTACAGGCTCCATGGGCAGGGAGAGGTGCCTGTGGCTCTGGGTACCACTGGATGAGGAGTGCAGGCCCTGTGCACACCCCCAGCATCACCAGCTGATGGGTTGAAGTGGTTTTATTAACCAAAGCTCAGCTCGGCCCATCCACTGCGATAAGATCCCCCAGTGAGACGGAAATGAGGACATCATAATTAACATGGTGAGCACATGTGCCCTGGGGGGGGGGGAAACATGATTGCATCTGCACTCAGGGCTTTTGCCTAATAGTTTAAATTAAAGTCAACACCGGTTGTAAAAAAAATTGCCAGATTATGAAAGGCAAAAGATGCAAACACCAGATATGTGGGCAGCTGAGCAAGGTCTTAGAAGTCTCCTAGGGCCTGTGTGGCACGGCCGAGGAGAAGGAGGAGGAGTGGAGGATGGACTGTGTCCCCCTGGAGCAGCAGCTCAGCCTCCCACCATCCTTGCAGTGCCAAGGGACAAGGTCTCCCTAGTCCTGGGACAGCTTCCAGGAGGGATGCCAGGTCTGCCTGGCATAGCAATGCTTTTGTGGCCACTGAGACATCCAGCACTTTCCTTCCCAGTGAACCACAACACTTCCCCAGGAGCTGCCAGGTCCCTCACACCACTGTTACTGGGAGACAAAAAAAAGAGAAGGATGTTATTGCAGCTATAAATCATCAGATGGGAGGCCTTAATGGAGATAATCCCCATGAAATCAGTCACTGCTGTGGCTAAGGAGGGATTTGTCAGGCAGTTAACTACCCTGAGCTTCACTGCAGGTGATTAACTCCTGGTAGTGACCAGCATCTGGGGAATTAGCAATAACCCAGCATTTACTGAACAAGCACTGGGAGATGAGCTTTTATCTCAATTACTAGTTTAAATCTTTATTTTCCAATGTTCCCTTCCAACCCATCTTTTTTTTTTTTTTTCAAAGAAAATTAATTTCACTGCAGCTTGAGCTGTAACTTGCTGATATTCCTGGATCCAGGCAGAGGCTTCAGCTTGGAAGAGAAACACAAGAAATGCAACAAGGACATCAAAGTGAGGGAGGGCAGAGACATGGCCTTGGCAGATGGGAGAACCCCAACATCTCTTGGTGCTCTGAGGAGAAAGAAATGACCCTGAAGGGAGTTGAAGTGCCAAGGACACGGAGCAGCTTGGACTGGGGGCCGGTGTTTTACAGGGTGGGCTTGGGGCAAAGGGTCCCCAAGCTCTGTGACAGACAAGGTGCATCCAAGCCATGAACTGGTTGTTGGCTGCAGGACCATAGCCAGGCAAAAGAAGTCCCCTGGTGCATAGGCTTTGCTCTGCAAACAGCTCAGTCCCAGGACATTTACAGCATCGTGAAATCCCCGTCCCTGATGCACAAACACTGCTGGGAAACAATCCTACAGGCTCATCTGTGCTCTCAGCTGGGTGCTTCAGCAAATCTAGTGCCTCTCTAACAGTTTTCTCCCTGAGCACTGTAGGGTGAGGGAGGAGCATTCTTGGCTAATTGTGCCCAGGGGCCTCAGGATACATCCCTTTAGGAGGAGCGGAAGGGGCAGAGATGGGGAGCTGCAAACCTCCTCTGAAGGTCTTTCCTGGTGCTTCCACCAACAAAGCCAACATGGAATATGCCAATTCCATGGGATTGCTGGGAATTGTGCAGGGCTGGGAGCTGGACTCGATGACCCTTGTGGGTCCCTTCCAGCTCAGGACATTCCATGATTCTGTGATAGGTGTAGAGGCAGCTGCCTGGGTGGCAGATGCCCACCAGCCCTCTGGGCTGACTCCAGCCCTTGCAGTGAGGGGGCTGTTGTGGGGCCAGAGCATGGGGGTGCTGATGGGAGGTCACAGGCAGCATGGGGGGGCCTTTCTCCAGCACTCAAGGTGCTCCCGTTCTAATAAGCTTTTGCAAGGCATCACTCGAGCTCCTTAGATACCCTGTGTCTGAACAAAATCATTTCCTGTTTGACTTTGTAAATCAAAGTAGATGATACAATAATTATTAATAATATGTTGACTTATCTCATCAGCATTTTAATTAGTCAGTAGAAAAGCAATTTGCAAAGGGGCCCATCAGGCCCCCTCTGATCCAGAGGGTCATGTGCCGAGCAAGGAGAGGGGAGAGAAAGGCACTGGGGCACTGGGGCATTTTGCTGGGGAGAACTGGGATAGGGGGAGGTGTGGGAGGGGAAGGGGCAGCCTCTTTGACGGGCACTGATAAGAGTTTAATTTTCAATGCAAAGGGAATTGTTCTGGGAAAGGAGCGAGCTGAAAAGCTCCTGGGAGACCTTTGAAGTTCTAATTGAGAGGAGCCGCAGCCCGCGGGACAGGGACGCTCCCGGTGACCCTTCCCTTCCTGCACGTGTCTCCAGGGTGGAGGTGAGGGGGGGTTGCGATTAAACCCCCGAGCAGCAATTACAGCCAATTACCCCTCAGTTAATTGTCTGGCAAGGGAAAATGTCAAAACAGGCCAGGCATGGCTCCCTGATGGCCTGACACTGCCCAGGGCCCACAGCTCTGCTGGCTCTCACCATGCCCACTGCTCCCAGCCCCTGCTCCTCCACTCTTGCTGGTCCACAGCAAACCAAGAAGGGAAAACAACCTCCCAGTGAGGCAAGTTCACTTTGCCCTCAGCTGGGATGAAAACATCGGGACTTTGTGGGTGGCACCCTTCCAGTTTTGCAGTGCTGATGCTTTGGACTGTTGCCCTGACTGTGTGGGCAGCTCTGGGATCAACCAGTCCGGAGGAGGAAACCTCTGAGGCTGCTGCCTTTCCTCTGGCATCCCCAGAAGACCCAGAGAGGTGGGACAGAACGTGCAGGTGCTGGAAAAGAAAGCTGTAGGGCACTGGGCAGTGAGCTAGCAGACACAAGTCCCTTCCTGAGGCTCCTCAGGCTGGGGACCAAGGCTCTGTGCTGCTTAGTGCCCTGCAAAGACCCAGGCAGAGCTACTCACCTCCCAGTGTCACCCATGTGGTGGCCCTGGGGGAAAATGGAGATGTGGGTAAAGCAAATCAAACATGACTTCAGCTAGGGAGACAGGGTCAGCAATGCTCTCCCTTGGCAGGAGGATGCTGTGTCTGTCTGTGGATGGCACAGATACACTGTGAGGAAATCCTGCACCCTTTTTATTATTTATTATATTTATTATTTATTATTATTGTATATTTTTAGCAAACATCACTAATAAGATGGAGACTTTAGATGTGTTAGTGTTCAGGAGCTGCTGGTGAAGGGCTGCTGGGCACCTGCTGTAGAGGACTGCCCTGAGACACAGCCCCAGCACCCTGTGGTCACCCAGTGCATGACACCTGACAGCTCAAATGAGTTGGGACCCTGGATTCATCCCCTGGAGTCATCCCCTGGATTTGTGAATGTGCAGTACAGGATGCTGCACCTTAACCACCCGTGGAAGTCCCTGATGTGGTGAGAATGAGGCTCCTTTGGGCTCAGTCCTTTGTCTGCTTTGGGAGTGCAAGGCCATGCCCAGAACAACCAGCTCAGGTGGATTCATCTTCACCCAAGTCCCCTCGGTGATGCGATGGGTCCCACCTGCATGACAGCAGGCAGTGGGCCTGGAGATGGGGTCACAGAGGCATCGGGAGAGCTGGACTCATGGAAGAGGATCCAGAAGGAGAGCCTTGGGCAGCCTGTGAGTGGCAGAGGATCTGACTATGAGGAGGAATTGCCTAGGGAGTGATGAAAGGCAGAGCACTGGATGTGGACAGAGGAAAACATCCCTGACTCACAGAAAATCCCAGAAAAGTTCTCCTTCCCAGGGGAGCAGAGGAAGCCCTGGTCCCCGACTCCCTGAAGGTGAACTCCTCCAGGGTGCCAGGTTTTGGCAGCAGGGCTGAAATGAGATGACAGCTGAGTAGTGACAGGACAGAGATCCACACAACCAAGGGCAGCCTATGGATGACCATGAAGAGGACAACATCTGCCTCATGCAGGCAGTGGCAGAGGAAAGTCTGGTGGCTGGAGACAAAGCCAGGCACACCCTCATAGCGATGGGTTTTTAACAGGGGCCTGTTAACAGCATCACCACAGGACCTGGAGCATTTACCAGCACTGGCAATTTTGCAGCCAAGGATGTTTTTTCCTAAAAGCTGGGCTGCTCTGAGAGCTGAATGAACTGACAGGCCTGAAGGCCTGTATTTATGCAGGAGATCACATCACATTAGTTCCGCGGTCCCCTCTGACCTTGTACCTCTCAATCTATTACATTCCCAGGACACTCATTTGCAACAGCTAACTGCTAAAATTAGAGCTGAGTTAACAATTTAATATATTTACATATACGATAAAGTCTGATAGAAATCTGATCATTGGTATTATTATGAATTCACCGTTCTGATCACTCCTGCTCGAGCAGCGCAGGGACTGAAAATCTCAAGCAACAGATCAATGAAAATTATTAGAGGCCTGGGAAGATTTCTGTGGGAGGTGGAATTGAAAAGATTAGGACCGTTTAGTTCAGAGAAAGGATGAAAAAGAATGGACATGAAAAATCAAAACAGTAGCAACAGCCAGGTAGGCACCCCAATTTTGCACGTTTCGTGCCTGCAGCAAGCCCCACTGTGCCTTGCAGTAGGTCCTGTGGGTATTTATGGGATTGTTTCTGTTCTCTAAATGAATGAGAAAAATCCTTCCAGCCAGGTCACTCTGACATCTGGAACTCTATTTCCAGAAAGCTCCTGGGGCAGAAAAATCTGGCAAGTGAAGGGGGCACGGGGAGAGGATCCAGCCAGTGTAGATGGCAGGCTCCCATGGGGGTCACCACCCCGACATCCCTCCCAGCCACACCACAGGGCTTTGTGTCTGCATCCCCATTCCTCATCAGGAACCATCTGCAGGGGAGGCCCCCTGACCCTTTTGCCCAGTTCCCACAGAAACTTCTCTGATTACAGGCAGTTGGGAGCTTCCCAGTTGTTTATGGCTGTTCCCTCTGATGCAGCAAGGAATGAGATGCTTCTAAGCATGAGTCCCACCTCTTGAGTCCCCTCAAAACTCAGGACCTGGTGACAACCTGGTCCCTAGCAGAGGACATGGAGGGTTAAATGGCATTTCCAAAACAGCTGCTTCCCACTGCTAGTCTTTTAGGCTGGCATTTTCCCAACAGACTTTGTCTCTTTGTCCCATAAGCACTGACCTGGGGCTGAGATGTCCGTTCCCTGTCCATCCCCTGACCCCCTGCCACAGGCACCCACGGTGACCTGTCCCACTGAGTTCCCTCTGTGCCAACAGCCGCTTCATACTTACCCCATGTGAGGGATAAGTCATCCAGCCCCAGTCCCCCGGGATTGTTGACGTGTCTAGCAAGTTCACTGGAAAACACAGGAGCAAAAGGCTGTGTTAGAAAGCTTTGTCCCCATCTCCAAGGGGTGAGGAACCAAGGCACCAAGAACCCCCTCCACACATGACACTTGCTTGAATGTTCCCCCCCCCATCAATCTGCTGGCAGGGACTGCCTGGCTGGACGTGAGGAAGGCATGGATGAGGGGATGGCAACAACTGATGCTGCCCAGAGCTGGTTGATCAGGACAGAGTTGAGTCCAGGCTCTACAACAGAGCAGTGCGACCTTTTGGAGGAGAGTGGGCTGCAAACAGCAGGTCAGAGGGAATGCAAAGCAAGGAGGGGCTGTGGAAACAAACTTCCAACACCACGTTGTCAACCATTCCCACCTTGGGCCAACACTGATGCAACTGGAGCATCGTTCCTCGGTTGGACACTTCTCCTCTGGAAGCCCTTTAGGCTCAGCTCCCTCCCAGCATCCCTGGTTTGAAGTCTGTGCTCCAGCAGCTGCTGTAATTGCACACTGCAGTGCCTGGCTCCAGCACAAAGTGACCCCCCATGGTCCTGGCTGACACCCCACTGGAGAGTTCCATCAAAGCCAAACCTTCCAAATCCCTGCCACCACTGGGAGCCCAGCTTAACGAGGAGCCACAGGCAAACTGCAAGAGGAGAGCAGCTTGTGGGGGGGGAGAAGTGAGGACGACTTTGAATGTGCTCAGGAGCTTCCTGTGGAAACCTGTGCAGTGTCAGCAGTGGGGGAAAGCAGGATGCCATGGCCCTGCTGCCTCAGTCATCCGAGCCCCACACCCAGATCCCACAGCACCAGGCAGAGGAGAGCCTTGCCAATGCCTGATAACCCCCTGACTTGCTCAGCACCTGAGGAAGGAGCCCAAGCCCCAGCTCTACAGTGCAGATTCAGAGGGATGGAGGCTTGGGAGAGGGTGCCCTGACCCTTGGGAGTGAGTGCAGTGGGCACCAGCACCTTGATGCCTCATCACCCCTCAACAGCACCAGGCTCCCACAGGGCCCCCAGTGCCTCCAGCTTTCCCCGTTGCTCCTTGTCCTGCAGCCACCCAGTAAGGTGCTGCATCCATGCTGGCTGCCTTTCCTCACCCTTGAGCAGCGTCAAACTGGACCTCAAGGCACTTTGTCACAGCATCCCTCTGGAGCACCAGGTCTGGGCTGGTCCCTGGGCTCTGGAGGGACACTGGTGTTGGTGCAAGGACCAGCTTTGTCTCAGCGGGGATGGGGCACATAAGGACAGCAGCTCCAGCCCTGGCAGAGCCCGAGCTCAGCGTGAGGCTGGTCCCTGCAGCCCGAGGAACGGGTGCCACTTTCATTTACTATTACCAGGCAGGGAAGGAGAGGGGGGGAGAGAGGAGCAGAGACGTGAGCTGGCTGTGAAACACCCGTACGTCATGCTTCTGACAGAGCAGATTAGGAGCTTTTGAGGCATTTATTAATGTTAGCAGAACAATTTGAAAGAATTTCCAGGGTTTCTTGTGTGGCTCCATTGGCCCAACAGCAGGCTGAGCCCCTCCACTCCCCGCACGGCACTGCTCCCACTGCTAAGGAGGCCCCTTGCCCTCAGTATGGAGTAATTACCTCGAAGATCTCAAATCCATTTTTATTTGTTATTGTTAATCTGAAGATTTTCTGCCTATTTTCCCTGGGTAATTCGCCCAGCAGGAGCCCAGGTTTGGGAGTTTCCCTGCTCGCAGTGCAGGAGCACGGTCCTGGTGACCCTCAGCAGGCAGGTTGCAGGGAGGGGGCAGTTTTCACAGACCCTCTCTCCCCTCCCCACCGTGGTCTCCGCACCCTCTTTCCCACGCCGAGATGCTCCGCAGTGGATGTGGGTGCCTCCCACTGCTCCCCAGGCAGCACGAGGAGCCTGCATGGACCGGGATCCAGTGGGAGCATCATGTCGCGAGGAACGATGTTGAGACCACATAGTGGGGTGTACCCCAGACTTGTCTGCACAGCGGCGTGTGCAAGCTGGAGCCTCCTTGCCACACCCATATGCTGACCACGTCGTCTTCACCCAGTCCCACAGAGATGGAGGAGTCGTCTCCTTGTGGGTGCTTTGGTGCCCACCATCTTGCATCCGTGGTCAGATTCCTCATGCCCCTTTGCAGGAAGAGGGATAAGCTATTTCTTTTACTCTCTCACAAGCAGTTCAGCCAAGCACACAGGAGCCCTGTGCATTAAGCCCACTGTGGCAGGCTCTGTACAAACATAAAGGCATCGCGTGCCCGAGAGCTCTTGCGTTAACTCCCGGTATAGCACACACGTCCGTGGGTACGAGTGGCCATCCAGCAGCGCTGCGACGTGCTGTGCTCGGGTACAGGCAGACCAACAGTCTCCCAAAACCCAACCTGTTACAGACCGGGCTACAGCCCAACTCTGGAGGGGACCATGCGACGAGTGCCCGTCCAGCCCCTCGCAGGTGATCTCCCGGCTGCGCCGCTTCTCCAGGGGCGACGCTCAGAGCCCGCCCTCGCTGCCGGAGGGCGAGCGAGACCCCCACAAAGGACCCCTTTCAGCTGAAACTTTTCTTTTTTTTTTTTTTTTTTTTTTTTTTTTTTTTTCAGAAAATGTGCCGGTTTGGGAGACCTCTCTCTCCTACAGCTGGGCGATTCTGTTTGATGTTATGGACTGTCTGCACGTATCAGTCTCAAACTGCGAGCTCCATTTTGTTTTCCCGAGCACCATTTTGTCGTTCCCCTATTCTGTGCCTTGGCCTTGCCTCGGCGTATTGAGCCAAAACACCAGGAGGTGTCAGGGGAAATTCTCGCCCTGGTGGAAAAGCTGTCAAGCCTGATTGCCCTTTCAAATGGAAGCACCTAGGAGTGAGCAGGTTGCTTCCCAGCACCAACTGGGGTCTGGAGACGGAGCCTCACGTAAGGCAGACCCTCTTGCTGCATGAAGTTGTAATGGGGTGTGAGTAGTGCACGTTGCAGCCTCATAGCCACAGATTAGACAGGAGTCAAAGTGTATGAATCTGTATATGATGTTTATGTATATTGTATTTCTACCTCTACCTTTATTTTTGGATCTGTATCTATGTTTGCATCCATACCCATATCTACCAAATCCCAAACACTGCTTGGGATGAGAGAGGAAGCTGAGGCAGGGACTAGCATCCAGAGGACGTGAGTTTTTCCTGGAGCCATCTATCTCTTGTCATATATCTACACCTATATCTTATATCTATGTTTGTATCTGTATCATTTATATCTATATCAATATCTATATTTATACCTATATCATCTATAAAGAGTGAGTGCTCAGATATCCTTCCCAGCACTTGCACTGGTGGCCACAGCTCCTGCAGGGCTGTATTACATCCCTACAAACAGATGCATGAGCACCTCGGGGTCTCACATCCAACTGTCCTAGGCTCAGAAATGGGCTCATGGTATCTAAGGGAGCACGTGGATCTTCAGCCCACCCAGGGGTGCATGGTGGGGTAGTGAAACAGGTCTGGGGCTGACACGCTGGGGGATGTGCTGAGCCCCAGCCTCTGGAAGAGCAGTGGGGGACCAAAGAGAGCTCTGAGCACCCTCACTAATTATTAACCCACTGCAGTCCTTCCTCTAATTACTCCACCATCTCCCTCCTAGGCAGGGGCTTTGTAGCGCAGGCGTGGGGAGGAAGGGTCAGTGGGAGCAGCCCTGTTCCCTTGGGCTTCAGTTCCTCTCCATCACAACTTCAAAGGCCTCCTAAGATTCACAGCCAGGCTCCCCCCCATGCAACAACGCCTTTTGCATCGATAATTAAACCCTTATCAGCGCGGTTTGGCACTCCTGCTCCCCGCTGCCCAAAGACCAGCAGGCTCAGCTCTGCGGCCCCAAGCGGGTCTGCACACCCCACACCAGCCCCATTCCAGGGGGGGACAACACAGGGAGGGTTATCCACAGCAGGAAGAAAGTCAGGGTATGGGAAAGGGACAGGGAAGGCTCCCTGAGAGAAGGGGAGCGAGAGCCAGTGGCATTCATTTCCTGTAAGATCGGGCAGGACTTTGAAGGGGCAGATGGGGCCGGGCTGGGTCAGCTATTTGTGTCCCACCGTTTAATCCAAGAGCCTGCTGAATAGCCAGCCACGACCTTTCCAACTTGTGAGGCAAAGCTGAGACACAAAGCTGTGTCTTACTGGCCTTGGAACATGGCAGGAGGAAAGGACGGGAAGCCTCACTTTCAGCTTCCTGATCCCTGGGACAATATTTATCTTTAAGGAGTGAAAAATAACCATTTATTCCCCAACATGGGAGGCCAAGCACTGGGGCTCAGAGGGAGGAGCAGCAAGCCCAGGGGGTAGGTCAGCTCTCCCCATCTGGGAGCTGTGCACAGGGGATGTTCCCCACAAACCTGGGTCAGCACTGCAGCACTGGGGTGCTGCTCTGCCAGACCAAAGACCGGATCCAGGTGGGATTTGTCCAGCAGCTGCTCATCCACAAGGCTGCACAGACTAAGGACACAGCAGGGATGGTGCTCACCTCAGCACCCACCGGCCTCAGCTGCCCGGAGAAGGAGTTTAGAAAAGCAATGTGGGTAGATCTTAAAAAAATGTCACCAAATGCAGGATTTCCACACTACAGGAAATGCCAGAATCAGGCTGGGGAAAAAAAAACCCAAAACCAACAACCCCTCCCCCCCAAAACCAAACCAAACCAAACCAAAAAAAACAACCAACCAGAAAAAAAACAAACAACAAAACATAAACCAAAACCAACCAAACAAAACAACTCCCCCACCCCCCCCAAGAAAACCCAAAACAAGCTAAAAAGAAACATTTTCAAACGAAAGCAGTGCTGCTTTTTGGCCATGCCCTAATTCCCATTTCAGGATTTCTTCTCAGACCTCCAGATTGTTGCTGTGAACTTTCTGTATTTAATTCTATATCGTTTTGTAATGCATCAGGAGCGGTAATGCCCATAAGGACTGCCCAGAGGGTCACCCCTTTTCACTATACCCAGAGCAGGAGATACTTTGATGTAGGAAGAAAGCTTGTTTGTTCAATCAGTGCTAATAA